CTCTACTGTACTCTATTAAAATTTCCCAGGAATATGAAATGCACTTCTTCATATGCAGTTTATGGTTTATAGGTAAGCAAAGACTGCATGGTAGTTTTTCCATCAAGTGGATGAAAAAAGTTTAACAGAACTTATTAATGTTACTTAACAAAGTCAGGAGAAAGTTCTGGTCTAATATAATCTGTCAATCAATTTTTGTAAGAATTATTCTCTGTCAGATGTTTGAACTAAGTTTCTTACTAAATGAATTTATAGGTAATATTCTAATTTAAGATAAATTAAAGCTTATTGTTCATGCTTTACTGAGGTGAAACAAATCATGATAACTATTGAGTTTTTTCCTTGTTCAACAAAGATCTTGTATGCAAAAGCATAAAACTTTCTAACTGGGTTTAGTCACCAATTATATGCTACATAATCAGCAGTTGTTTCTATGTTTTATGTGCTGATCATTTCAAAGCTTAAGTTCATTTGAGTGTTGTCTGAACCCAGGGGTCGGGAATTTGAACCTTCCCTGGGTGGGGTAGGGTATTTTAACTGGAACTGACAAGTCTTCTCATAGGAATACATGTGTTTTACCTTTTCACATGGAGGTGTTCAAAGGTAAAACTCCTACTTTTGTGAGCAGATGGTTCAGAGGAGAAGGTCTACAGGAAAGTCATGCCTGCTAATCTTACCTTCTACAGAAAAATTGACTGTCAAATCTCGCACTTGGGTAGGGCATCTCAACACAGTTTTTGGTTCAGGGGGACCTGAATTTGAATAAATCAATTTTCTTAGGTTCAAATTCCTGGGGGGAGGGGGAATTCAAAGCTTTGAATTGATTAATGAAAAGCTAGGTTGCCCTTTGTAACAAATTTTTTTTTAGGGTCTCTCCTCTTCCTCTCTGGGTAAAGAATGAGTTACGAAAGACAAATTAAACCCAGTGTTATTTGTTACTGTTTCATTATTCATATTTGCCTCAGTATTTAGCTTTTCCTCATTACAGCTATATTGTCACCCCAAATGATTCTACATTTGTGGCATCATCTAAGCCATGCCAGAGTGCTCAAACTAGTAACAAGTGAGCATTGTGAAACTGCATAAAATGACCCATCTTAATAGAGTACTCAATTTGGACATGAAAGCAAAGTTTATATATATATATATATATAATTCAAACTGGCTAAAATGAAACACATGATTCCCTGTAAGTCATCAGGCAGATTTAATGGAAAACGTTCCTGTGCACTAATTTTTATACACTGGTCTGTATTCAAAAGGATAGGTGCTGATGACAATAGGTTGTTGCTATATGCACAATCGGTGAGAAAAAGTGAAAATTACAGTGAATGTGGATATATTAATGAAGGATAATAAGACAATGGGTGTGAGTGTATTAGCAAAAGTCTATTGTTGTGGGGGGAGCATTAACTGTTGTTTAGATAAAACTTGTTTTCGTGGCGGCACTTGGATATANCTGTCAGCTGAAGTTGTAGTTTCTTGAGTTGTTCATTATGCAGTTTCCTTTCTTTCTCCATCTCTGTGGAATTCCTCATGAACAAAGTAAAGAGCTGTGGCTTTTCCTCTGCCTTAAGAGTTGCCACAAGAAATGCTTGCACATCTCTCTTAAGATCAGAACACCAAGAACTGGCAAACAGTGGTTTAAAAGATGGATGTGATGTAGGGTCAGGAATAAATGGCAATGCATAATATGGAAGGAACTCTGTTGTCTGGCTCAAAGCAGCTCCTTTAGTTTCGAGATAAGACTTGAAAATTTGCATCGATCGCTCCAATTCTTGCTTGTTGTGGTTACCATGGATAATAGGATAGAGTGCAAAGTAAATATTTATGTTGAAAACCAGCTTCTGGCAGACACGATCAGTTTCTTGAACATTCTCAGGGATACAATCCTCCCATATTCTGAAAAACTCAGTATATCTTCCATCAGAAAGATCTGACAACAGTTTCTCCTGAATTTCAGTTTTCTGTGAGTCATTCCTTGGCGTAATGACCTGATTTAATTGTTTTCCCAGCGAATTTAACTCATCTTCATATGCAGATGATGTCCTCGAATATCCAAGATAATCCAAATATTCTTTGACAATGGAATTAAGATCAGCTTCGTTTGCTAAAACTGCATCCATTTTCTATAAGATTACTTTTTCTGAAAGGTGAAAAACAGTCACACTTGAGAGAAATAAAAAAACTACATGGCTGGCATGGTCGATACATTCGCCATTCAAGATGGCCGCCAGATTCGTCGAATGAATTGTTGCTATGATGGTGCTGACCAAAAGTATAGCGGTCCCTGAAAGCTGTCTTCTGCTCTCCTCTAGTGTACTGTTCCTGTTTACCAACTTCTGCTCTATAAATTTGAGGACGAAGGGTTATCATTCTATCAGCGAAGGAGGAAATTCAAAAGTCAAATGCTCTGCAGAGTATACCAGAAACTGCAGTCCGTAGTATCAGCTTACGTCAATCGCATGCAACCCTCTTCAACACTTCTGGGAGAAGACATCTTGAAACTAGGGAGAAAGGAAACCTGGGAGACAGAATGGAGCGATGGAAGTCCGGCTTGGCACCGAAAATATGTCAGTCCCATGCTGATAAAACATTACGATGAATTCACTTCGGGCCGGACAAATCGCAGCATTCTCGTTCCACTTTGTGGAAAGTCGCTGGACATGATTTGGTTAGCAGATCAAGGCCATACCGTTGTTGGTGTGGAAATGATCCGAAAAGCAATCAAAACGTTCTTTGAGGAGAACAAATTGCTTTACGACGTTAACACAGCACAGACTTCAGCCGGGAGTATTGTCAACTTATTCAAGGCCAAGAACAAGGACATTACACTTATCGAATGCAGCATATTTGATCTGTCACGTGATGTTTATCACAACAAGTTTGATTGCATTTGGGATCGCGGAGCATGTACCGTGATCACTATGATGGACGAGGCCCGTCTGAAACGGTACGTGGACGTCTTATTGTCATCTTTGCAACCTGATGGACGATATTTTCTCATGACTTTTCGCCATGAATCGGGCAAGAATTCGAACGAAGGCAAGTGGGTCAGTCATCTTCCGGAAGATAAACTGATTGAGTTGTGCGGTGATCAATGTAAAGTGGAATTAGTTGAACAGGATGACATAAAAAACGATCCAGCCCTTTTAGAGGCATATGCCTCAGCTCCTCAGCATTCAATATTTTATTATTTTGTGACCTTTAAGTGACGTTTTCGCTCGTGAGGCGCGAGCGGTTCTCAAACGCTCACGCAACACCGCACAAAAGTGTAAAATCAGGAACTGGACTCGAGACACTGAAGTCTTAGAAAAGGAATGTCTCTTAACTTATTAAAGAGTTTTATTAAGTCTAATGTATGTTTACCCTAGTCTTGGGGCTGAGAAGTAGCTTTTACGTTTCAGTCGGATAAGTTTTGGAGTTTTAATCCACAGTCGTAAGGCAAAGGACTCACGACGTCCTAAAGGTGATATTTTTGTAACGCGGATCGTGAAACACGCCTCTATGATATTAATTGGTGAAATTTGCTTGTGATTTGCGCTGGCGATAGAATTCATGACTATACTATCGGCATACAGAATGGGTATTGGCGAGGAGTTGGCGCGGTGTTTTCGCCGCTCCAAAGACTAAACAGAGAGCTAATTGCAATAGAGACGTTTCAGAAAAATTTAGATTGAAATATTAACTTCTCTCTAAATGTTACGACTAATTCCAGAAAAGAAGTTGTGTGTCTGCTATTAGTAAGTTTTTAGGGAAAATGGTTATCTTTTGTAACAGATTTCGATAAAACAAAAAACTGCATATGGAGCCGGAAGTTTTTTCAAACATTGCACCTGAAAATGCTTACTTGTTAACATTGTACGTGGAAATTTGCCTTTAGAAAAAAGGGGCCTCAAGCAGTTCTTATGATCTGAGAAGAAATCATACATCAAAACTTTTGTAAAACATACATTCTTTGCTATGAAAAAACTTAGAATCGTTTGCGACCAAAAGAATTAATATGAACTGCATGCGCATTATTTCCTTTCTTCATTATTAAAAATGTCTTGATTTCTTGTGAGCCACTTCAACTCTAAGGACTCGTCGTCTACGTCACTTTTTTTTAATTTGTTTTCACCATGAACTTGTCTTGAACGTGTTACAAACGGGTTGACCAGCCGCTTATCTTGGAAGTAACATCACGATCTTACAAAAAGCCATTAGAAGAAGAAAAATATATACCAAGCCTAGGGGTTTAATTAATTCAATAGCTGTTAGTTGCCAAAACCCGACGTCAGTTCACTGAAGAATGTACTTCTCACGAAAAGACCAAGAAATCATAGTCTCTTGACCAGACTCACTGAAACCCTTTCGAAACTTTTCCGAAAATGCGGTTCATATACTCTCATTTTTGTGCATGGGCCTATTAGCACAAATTCAATTGACCCTGCGGAAAAGACCCCATAAGAGATTCTTTCAATCACAGGCAAGGGAAAAGTGTCCAAGATATGACTTGATCCGAAAAGTTCTGACCCTGAACAATGCAGGGCTGTTTACAACATTTCCAATGAGATCGCTCTTATATTTTTCGAAGATAATTGTTGTGATGCCACGGATCTCATGACTTTGCTTAACCATTTCAACATAGCAACATAAAACATAAGGCGATAAACGTACGTGATTTGAAAGATCAATTATTTTTTTGAAAGAAAAGCGTCTGAAACGCGCGGCACTAGTACTGCGAGCGGGTCACAGAGTAGGCTGTTTAATTTATTAAAACTGACGATTAATTTGTTTCCCAAAATACTATGGCAAAAGATTTTCTTTAGACAACCCATCCAAAGTTACGAGCATTTGAGAACAATCAGGTTTCGACTCCGAATAAAGCTTCTTCACACACAAGAGATCGATGGAAGTCAGAGTGAAACATGAAGAGTAGAACAGATTGCCTAGAGATCAAAATTTAGCCAGTTTTCATAAATCAGATACATTTGATCAAATCCCGAACCGCTACTGCCTAAGGCACCGCTAGTTCCTTCAATCTTCGATTCCTCAGTTTGTTCCTCCGCGAGCTCTAAGGGTAATATATTTGAAATTCAATCGCAGCGTTACTCAACAAACTTACTGGACCGTCATATGTAAACAACTCTTAAGAAATTCAAATTCGGACTTTGTGAATCCCCTCTGGGCTTTCGGAACGTACGGTTAGCAAATAGAACGTTTCATCTACGGCAAGTTGTGTTACTTTGGAGGGTCTTCGCCGGCCTCGAAAAGGCCAAACGCTTAGAATAATAATATAAATTCTAGGAGAACATCTTTGTTAATAGGCTAAGTAAGAGAATTAGATGCGGTTCATATACTCTTAAGCGAAGTTATCTTTTCAAATAAAAAAAGGGGAGTGTTGTGTGTTCAAGCTTTAGGGAACTCAATGATTAACTGAAACCGACACCACAGAATTTATGACAGTGTAAATTGGCCGCCGCAAGAGTTCCTTACGCTGACGTTTCGAGCGTTAGCCCTTCGTCACTCACTTTGAAACCCTAAAATAATCTTGTTATACTCCTCCACCGACGCAGCGCCAAAGTTTCTTTAGAAACTTACCCTCTTAGACAGTTGACATAAGCGTATACATCTTTTGTTTGCGGCTCAAACGAAACGAAACGACGAAGATGAAAGAGTTATACCGGATAATGCTGCAGTGAGAAACGGTGAGATCTGTGAAAAATTTCTCCTTAATTATGACTGAATGATTTTTTTTTCTTAGTTTGTCTAAAGAGAGAGCGAAAAGAGAGCAAAAGGAAGTTAACTAAGAATACTCCAAAATGATGGACGATCCAATTAAGAAATATCCTAAACGGTCCAATTCTTGTTATTCTGGTATTTTGATACACATTGTGATTCACTTATCAGTTATTACTCATACGTCCGTTTTCGGTGTAAAACCTTTCTAGACGCATAAAACTGAACAAAGCCTTAAAACACTACATCTAAATTTTTGAATAGTTCTCCTAAGAAATCCGAACTTATCTATGAGTCACATCCGTATACTCAATACCGACGGGACCCGAACTGCGTTAATTTATTTTTTTACTTATCCACATAATTTACGAACGTGTTCCAAACGTGTTTCTGACAATTAGATATCGACAAACTATGGGGCTGAAGACACTAATAAAGGGGGTTTCCAAACATTTATCAGTCATTTCAAGGACTGATATCACAATCCACACAGGTGTTGCCAAAGTTCATTTTCGGTTTCTCTGGTAAGTTTACTGTGCCGAAGACTCAATGGGAGTATTTAGCTAGCTTTTGATCTACTTCATCCTTCCTGAGGCACCTGATGAACTTACGCTTTTTTTTTAGATTGCTATGGCTGAAAAGAGGTTTGTCAAGTTGCTGTTATTGATGATGCTCTTCGAGCTCCTAATTTTTCCTGCCGATGTGGCATCGTTGAGGCGGAGGCGCCGCCGCCCTGTCTGTAGTTCACAAAAACCTGCAGGCGCCAGATGGGTTAACAACTGGCAAGGAAGTTTCAGTTTCCAATGTAGCGGTAAGCAGATTTAATTTCAATTTCAAATGTTTTACGATCCTTTTGCTTTGAAAGATCTAGCTAACCTCCTTCTAATAGTTTTATTTGAAATACTTTCAAAACTTTGCGGTTTTGTACTTGCCAACACGAAATCGTTCATTGTATCTGTATCATCCCTTTCAAGTGCGCAGGCAAAGAATTTCTACAAAAAGCTTCCCTCTCATGCTCAGCACGTACTCAAGGCACCTCTATACTGCATAGCTCTGTGACTTCTATATCCTTTCTGTTTGTTTTTATAATATCAGAACTAAAAATAATTGATTTAGGACAATTAATCAAAGCCTATTTCGTTGGTCTTTTAGCCGGAAAATCCGTGCAACTCTGGAAAAGTATACACCGCAACTGCAAACAAGACCGTATTCACAGTTTTAACTGTAAATATGGTCCCGTCCGTTACAAAAGCTGTGACTGCACCTGGCAAAATTACGCGAACAGCTACGATAAGCCGTTGGTCTTCAAGTGTCCTAACAATGGCTTTATAACAGGAATCCGCAGTTTTTACAGCACTTCTTACCAAGATCGCAAGTGAGTCACTCCATGACTTCGGGCACTAACTGGCTTCTCGACCAAATTGATCAAATAATAAAAATCACAAGGGGTTAATGGGAAACACGAAATAACTATCAAATTGCCTGAAGAACGGGAAAACGTAGGTGACTAGTGTTACCAGTTGTACTCTTAACATATTCAGAGGTTGACACAAGTGTTCTGTTCAATCACAAGCTAAACAAACTAAATGGGTGCGATCCCGGATCACTTTCGACATCCGTTAAACAACAAGTTCCGCGACGAAAGCTAGTCTAAGTTATGCGCGTATATGTGTTTGCCATGTCATTCTCTGACACAAGATTGCGCGTTTTAAAAACAATCAATCAAAAATGCCGAGCAGCGTTTGAAGTGGAGCCAAAGCTTTACTTGAGGCCAAATGAGAGAGTGGCCATTTCATCCTAGAATAGAATATTAAGGATATGTCGACCCCTGACAGTACAGATAAATTCAAGCTTTGAAATTGGTCCTTCATTTTAACTAGGAATCGTACTTATCTAACCCACGTATCTCTAGGTTTCGCTTCCGCTGTTGCCATATTAAAAAATACAGGCCAAACAAATGTAAGATAACTTCACTGCGAAACTTCTGGGACCGGAATCTAAACTACAGAGTTCCTCACAATTATTACTTGGTGGGAGCCTTCAGTGATCATGACAATCGCTATCAGTAAGTATATATAACATCCTGAAGCTTTTGCTGTGACTAGAAACTATTAAGCCTGCAATAACCACGCTTGCAGCATAAAGCGACAGGTTTTACTTGCGTTTGAATCGTCAGTTGTAGCCACAAATTATTTTTGGTGAATATCTTCAGGTAAGCTTTTGGAACTACGTCGAGATTCGATTTTGGAAGTCAGTGCAAACTAAGCTGGCTATTGGGGAAATATTTTTTCGCTGGCCACAACTCTACAGCCTCAAATTTTTAAACTGAGAAAGCAATGGATACCTCGCCATCGTAACTAAATGAAGAATTTTTTGGTGTCTTAAATTTTTCGGACTTTTTAATTCCATGATTGGCAACGAAAAGCATTTACTTCATGCTTCATCGGCGTAATTTTTTTATGAAAGAAGCTTAGTATTGCAGATAAAGCATTCTGTATATTTGATCAGGTGTAAAAGCGCTTCAAAGCACTTGAAATATATTAATGACATATCTCGCCATTTATTTTTCAGGGATCGTCGCTGGCAGTTCGAGATTTGTCAATTCGGAAGGTGCCGCTAAAGATCGCACTGAACAACTGAGCGATTGACACCGAGTGGAAACATTTAATGAAGGGCGCTAAAATCAGATTAGTTTTGCATGTTTTGAGAATAAAAATTAAGAGAAGGGATGATTAATACAGCAACTTTTATTTGAGCTGACACATACGAGCTCAAGACAGTAAATCAAATTGTAACAAAGGGAACAGAATAAAGATGTTTTGATATTAATCTTAGTGTATGCTTGGGACAATAACATAATAAAAATGCTTGCTTTAAAAAACGATGGTCTCGTTTCCTTTTCTTTTACTGGCAAATCGAGTAAGAAGATAATTAAAATAATCGAGAAGTGCGGAAGAAGTATCCGGAGAAGAAGTAAAATTTCCTCCTTTCTGTAAAGGAATAGTTAGAAGCAAGCGATTAGGTCTCTTGTTAGAATCGAAGCAATATCAATTTCCAAGAAATATGAAAACTGTTTGATATTAGATGGATGATCTGCTAGAGAAGTGCTATGAACTATGATCTCGGTTTCGAGATAAACTCGATTGAAGGCTTTTGACTTCAATTCAGCAATGAAGTGACAAATCTAAGGAATTGAAAAAAAGCGATACGAAAACGTTTGGCTGAAAATTCCCGGTGTTATGACAGGGATACAGATCATCAAAAAATCAATAAAAGTCAGCATTTTGTCTCATACTTTTTCTTTCAGGGATAGAAGTTGTTTTTAGAGAATACCATCCTCAGTTCTTATCATTCTCAAAACTCAAACAAATGAGACGATGAAATTTAAAAAAGAATGACTGAGGGAAAGGCCAGGACAGATTCAGATAGTACACTTTCGAAACAGATATCAACACAGAAACATATTCTACTCAAGCGTTTGACCGGAAAATATTTTGTTTGATCCTTAATTAATCACCAGAGCAGTACAAGAGAGTGTAAATGGGCGCAGTGCATAATCTCACCTGTAAGCTGAATTGTGTAGTAGAAGTTGAAGAGTTCACTTCTGCGGTGTTAAAACATAGGGTTGCAGGCAATTTGTGGGTGCAATCTGTAGTGTAACAAAAGTTTTCTCGTTTAACAAAGGTTTGATTATACTGAAACATAAAATCGCAATTTGACTCAAAGAACATTCTACAATAAGCTAGATTTTTCAAATCTTTCAAAGAGTAAAAAAAAGAAAAAAGCCTCTGTCGAAAATACGAGGTGTACTTCAAAACTAGAAGTTAGTGTGTCCTCAAAAAATTGGCTCGTGTCTTTTGAGGGCCTGACTGCTCCAGTATTTAACTTCAATAAACCTTATTTTTCAACCTTTTGACAATATTATCTACAATTTTTGTTTCCATTATAATTTCCACGGGCACCGTAAAAAACCAACATGCCATCCCAACAAACACAACAAATAGATTTGGATAATTGAACTGGTGGATTTCCGTTTTTCTCTTGAATAAAATTTTTAGTAATTTCTCTCGAATACAATTTAGTAACATGATAAGTCTCAAGAGAATTAACTGAAAATTCACCAGAAGGCGAGAGGCTATTACCGTAAATCCTCTAATAATCCTTTAATAAGGAGGGCTTATTTATAAGT